ACTCCAGTTTACCCAGTGACCCCACCGTGGTGATTAATAGGTTGAGTGCAAAGCCCTAATGAGTATGTCAGATCTTAGATGTTCTCTTTGCTAACTTAATTAGCATTATGTTGAAAAGAGTATTTGTTTCAGTTACTTGGTAGAGAGATTTTTCATGCTTTTACAGTAAGCTTTTTATTTATGGTCTTTGAATTTATTTTATAATCATCAACTTAAAATGCTTCTATAAATATAGATCTTTCAAATATTGGAGGAAGATTAAATATTTCTAAATCAATTATTGTTTTTCTTCTACATCAGTGAACCTCTATGATGTACGCAAAGTGAACTGCTTTTCAGAGATCCTTCTTGAAATGATTGGACAGCCACTTTGCACTTGAAAAAGATGAGTTTGTGATAAAGCCCAGGACTCTGCATTTTTAACAAGATACCCATGATTCAGAAACTCATGGTGGTCCACACTTGAAAAACACCTGCACTGTGAGTAACAGAATTGGATAGATGGATGCTGTTTCCAATAAGCCATGTAAATGTAGGAGATCTCCATTCAACAGTGGATGTGGGAGGCAGAAACATATGTATCCAAAAGGTTGTTGTTGTTGCTAAGTGCTGCTGAGTTGGTTCTGATTCATAGTGACCCTGTATGGAGTTTCGGAGGAATGATTGGTGAGCTTTAACTGCCAACTTTGTGGTTTAAACTGACTTTGTAGTCCAGTGCATTAGCCCACAATGCTACAACAGGACTCCATCCAGTAGGTAAAAGGCCTGAAATTACTTTTCCAGATTTGAGGAGAAACCCAAAGGGTAACAAATTTCTGTAATTTCTGACTTCTCCCCATGACTGGCCAGAGACAGCAAATTAAATGTTTCATCCCGATGACTAAAGATTTCAGGCAATATTTCACTTGCATCTCATCAAGATATTTTTATAATTAACAACTATATTATGTATTTTGATGTGACCAAATACAAAATTTCTTGTCAACTTTTAATCTACACATACTTTACTCATCTCTTATCCAAAATATGTAAAGGTTGTTTTTCCCTAAATAAATAAATAATTTAACAAACTACCGTATTCATGATGAACTTCAAGAGTTCTCTTTTCTGCTTTTACAAATGTATACACTAATAATTAAAAATAGGCATAAGAATATTATGGTAATAATGATTTGAAGGACAAATATATGTTGTTGTGTGCCATAAAGCCAATTCCAACTCATAGTGACTTTTTAGACCAGAGTATAATTTCCACACAGGGTTTTCTAGTCTGTAATTTTATGGAACAGATTGCCAATTATTTTCTATCAAAGAATGACAGGTGGGTTCGAACTGCCAAGCTTTTAGTTAGAAGCTGAGTGCTTTGTCATTTCACCACCTTATAAGCTTTCATTTATTATAATTTTATATTGAGTTAATGGTTTCAGAAAATCAATTATGTCATTATTCATTCTAATCCTCTTTTGAGTAGAACACTGTTCACATGACCATGATGAGATTATAAACACATCCTGTTCTTTGTTGGCTGCAGAATGAGTTTTGATGTATTTAGTGCTGTCTGGGATCAACTGGGTGTTACCCAGTTTCCTTTCCTGTGCTAGAAAGTTTGCATTTCTCAGCATCCCCAATCTTTGCATCTAGGTGAGGCAGTATAAGAGGTCTGACCTACGCCTGGTTCCTAATATCTCATATGATCTTTTTCACACTCTGTCTAAATTTTTGGTCCAACCAGATGGGATAGATTCAAGCAACACTACAAAGCATTAGATGATGGCACAGCTACCAGATAGAAATAAACTTGGAGTGTAAGCCACTGGAACTTAGACCACAATTGCTTAAGACTAATTGAAGAAGACAATTAAAACTAACTTTATCTAAAAAATATTGTACAACCTTTATCTTTCTTAAGTTAATGAATTTTCTGTTCAATAGAGAATTTTCAATATGTAGAAACTAAATTCCAAAATCAGTGGACGTATATGAATTCATTAAAACAGGCTGTGTCAACTATATGTTGTTGTTGTTGTTGTTGTTAGGTACCATTGAGTTGGTACCAACCCACAGTGACCTTATGCTCAGTAGAATGAAACATTGCCCGATCCTGGGCCAACCTCACCACCGTTGCCACGCTTGAGTCCATCGATGCTGCCACTTGGCCAATCCATCTTGTTGGGGGTCTTTTTCTTTTTCTCTGACCCTCCACCTTACCAAACATGATACCCTTCTCCAGTGACTGGCCTGTGCTGACAATATGTCCGAAGTATGAGAGACGAAGTTTGGCCAACTTGGCCTCCAAGGAGCACTCTGGCTGCACTTCTTACAAAATGGATCTATTGGTTCTTTTGGAAGCTGATGGCACTTTCAATATTCTCCTTCAATACCATAACTCAAAAGCATCAATTGTTCTACGGTCTGCCTTATTCACTGTACAGCTTTTGCATGCATATGATGTTATTAAAAATACTATGGCTTGGGTCTGGTGCACCTTAGTCCTCAAGCTGACATCTTTGTTCTTCAATACTTGAAAGAGGTCTTGTACATCAGATTTGCCTAATGCAATACATCATTTGATTTCTTGACTGCTGCTTCCTTGAGTGTTGATAGTTGATCCAAGAAGAATGAAGTCCTTGACAACTTCAATCTTTTCTCCATTGATAAGAATGTTGTTTATTGGTCCAGTGGTGAGGATTTTTTGTTTTCTTTACATTGAGATGTAATCCATACCGAAGGCTGTGCTCTTTGATCTTCATCAGTAAATGTTTTAAGTCCTCTTCACTTACAGCAAACAAGGTTGTATCATCTGCATATCGCAGGTTGTTAATGAGTCTTCCTGTAATCCTGATGCCATGTTTTTCTTCATATAACCCAGCTTCTCGGATTATTTGCTCATCATACATGTGGAATAAGTATGGTGAATGAATACAACCCTATCGCACATCTTTCTTAATTTTAAACCATTCAGTGTTCCCATGCTCTGTTTGAACAACTGCCTGTTGGTCCAGGTACAGATTCCTCAAGAGCACAATTAAGTGTTCAATAACAGTCATACTTTGCAATGTTGTCCATAGCTTGTCATGATTCACACAATCGAAAGCCTTTGCATAGTCAATAAAGCACATATGTTAAGTATATGTTAGTGAGAGGAAAAACAAAGCAAATAATACATATCCTAACATTAGCACATTTTGTAATGCAGGCCAGAAAGACTGTGTATTGCTCTAGCAAGGTATCACTAAAGAACATGAGTCACTTGAATCAGAGGAGCACGACTTGGTGAAGAATGTCTACTGATTTGATTGTCATCGTACATAACACAACTACATTCCCTAAAGCAGCGCATGAAGATAAATTATATAAAATGTTAAAAATGAAAGCTTCATTGGAGTGCCCAAATAACATTTTAAAGATAACTTTTGCAAGGAAAAATGCATCTTCTTAACCTAACAGACATATTGAAAATAATTGAGAAAATTTTGAAAAACACAAAGGAGCTTCAATCACAGAAAAATGAAAATAAAAGATAATGGAATTTTTCCACAAGCATTTGGAAGCCTCCTCATACATTCTAACACGCACACACACACACACACACACACACACACACAAAACCACATACACAGAGCAAATTAGATTATTGTATGATGAAATGTTTACCTTGGTAGTATAAAAAAGAGAAAATATCCTAAAGAGTAATTATCATGTCAAAATATGGACAGGTAATTAAAAATAAAATTTGGTAGTGAAGGTAGCAGGCAAGTTACTCCACTGCAGTGGAAAGAACAATGAATTGCTCTTTAGAAAGCTTGGCCTAGATCTGGTTCTGTCACTTTCTAGATGTAAAGAGGTTTTGATAAAGGTGGAAAAACATAGTATTTAAGCGTTGAGGTACTCAATGTCTATAAGTATCTGCCATTAATGAACTGTTTGACTTGGAAATGCTATTTTCGCCAGTGCAAAATGAAGAAATGATCGTTAGTTTGCAGGTTGTTAAAAGGATTGAATCGTATCATATACAACAAAAGTTTCTACAGCGGCCCTGGCCAAGTGTAAATACTATTAAATATTAAAAACTATTACCAATGTTATCTCTCTAATATTATGAGTCATAATATCTTTAACCTACAAAATTTTTAAAAATTGCATTAGATTATTTGTATGGTTTCTTTCAGTTCTTGTACTCTGTGTCTATACATGTCTCTTAAAGTCAAATATGTACTTGAAAATTAAAAACTGCAAAACCCATATATTTTAAGTAATGAGTTAAAAAAAATCTCTTCAAGACAGTCTGGCCCACTGTTGAAATTGATTTAAAGAAAATAGATGATATAAGAATGCACTACTAATTATATATATATGCATTTAAATTTAGAGATGAGATGGTACATTTTAATGTGCCCATGACTTATACCTGCATTTTGAAATAGAATGGAACAACAAAATAGTGCAGCAACCATTTAAATAAAAAGAAGTCATAATGAACTTATTTCCTAAAGAGATAAATTATTTGATCACTCAAACCTGAATGGACCCAACATGTACATGACAACACCCTAATTTTGCAGCTTAGGGTGGAGCACTTTCTAGATTTATCAACTTTAGCAACTTGAGTTTCTTGCTCATTCAACAGAAAGTTTTACTACCAGCCTCAGCAATACTGGGAAATATTACTACTAGTCTCATGTATATATACTTCAAACTAAATGAAAATGTGTCTCCCTTTGAAAATCCATAATTTAGTTAATCTTGACAAGTACTAACAAATACTCATTTAAATAAGTACTCTGGTTACAACAAGAATCAACAGTTTAAGATGTTGAGTTAGTATGATAATTAAATATTTGGTTCCCATTATACTTTCGATTGGTTTTAAGTGACCAAAGTATGAAAAACAAAAGCAAAACAAAGAGCTTTAATAAACCAGGACATTGCACATGTAAAACACTGTAACATAGAGGAACTAGTTCTTAATCCAGAATTCTATTTTTTCTAAAGAACCTTACCTCCTGCATACATTACAGCCAGCATGATAGATGAAATCCATGCTATCTCACTGTAGGAAGTGTTGAATATTTCCTGTATTTCTTTGAAGAATACTGTGACTGCTTTGGGGAATGCATATGAAAATCCAATGGAGATAAAAGATGCTCCAACCACAACCCAGCCCCATCCTCCATCAGGAGGTGGATATTGAGGTTGAGTTTCTCCTACTGGTGGTGGCATCTTGGCTTTGCTATTTTAAATTCAGTTACCTATGAAAAAGAAACAACATTTAAGCTATATTTCTATTCTGTATATATCCATTCTTGATAGTAACCGAAGTAGTATTTTCCACTTATAACTACAATATAGTTTTTAATGAGTATTTTGATGATATTCTTGTACTTACAAAGTTAACAGACAATTTATTTATAAATGATACAAGGAATGTAGTTTTTATTGTTATGGACTAATGATGTTGTTGTTGTTGTTCTTGCCATCGAGTTGGTTCTGACCTATAGTGACACTGTACAGGGTTTCCTGTAAATCTTTACAGGGGCAGAAAACCTCATCTTTCTCCTGCATAAGTGCTGGTAGTTTCAAACTGCTGACTGTGAGGTTAGCAGACCAACTCATAATCACTACGCTACCAGAGCTCCTCAGGACTAATGATAGAAAGCATTTAATATGTTTGTGAAAACAAAAGTTATTCTATGGAAAGTAAAAAATTTAGATTTGAAGCATAATAGTACCCAAAAGTGAAGAGGTATTTCAATCCTATTTCTAAACATAAGAAAGACAGAGTTACCTTTAGTTATAACATAATAGTTTTTTATTTGAAATACTTTAGATTGTCTTTGTTGTTGTTGTTAAGTGTTGTTGAGTCAGTTGTGACTCATAGCGACCCTGTATAGGGTGTCCAAGGAGTGGCTGGTGGGCTGGAACGGCCAACCTTGTGGTTAGCAATCCAGTGCTTATCCTACAACGTCACATCAGAACACCAGATTTTCTAAAATAGTTTTAGTTTTATAAAAAATGAAAAAGAGATATTTAAAATCTAATGGATTATAATTATTGTTGCTGTTTTTAAGTGCCTTTGAGTCCGTTCAGACTCTTAGTGACCCCTGTATAGGGTTTCTGAGGCTTTAAATCTTTGAGGGAGCAGAAAGCTTCATTTTTCTCCTACAGAGTGGTTGGTGGGCTCGAACCACAGACCTTGTGGTTAGCAGACCAGTGCTTATAGCATGGAGCCACCGGGCTCCCTATAAGGTGATTGTTGTTGGTGTTAAGTGCTGTCAGGTTGTTTACAACTCATAGTGACCCTGTATAGGGTTTCTCAGGTAAGCTTGAACTACTGACCTTGCAATTCAAATTGACCTTGCAGTCACTGCATTAACCTGCAACACCACACCAGGTGATAAGTGCTGTTATTGTTAGGTAACATGGAGTCTGTTCTGATTCATCATCATGACCCTACTCACAATAGAAGGAAAGTTGCCCAGTCTTGCACCACATTCACAATGCTTGCTATGTTTGTGCCCATTGTTGCGATCACTGTATCAACCCATCTTGTTGGAGGTGATAAGTAGTAAGCACACCATAGAATTTTTTCTACATTTACTAATTGAAATTTCATTAAAAAATCTATCAGCCTGGATTTATTTTATAAACCTATAGGCTAGGGTGTGGCACAATAGGATACACACTGGACTGCTAATTGTGAGGTCAGCAGATCAAACCAAGCATCTACTCCTTGGAAACCCTACAGAGGGTTGATATAAGTTGGAAATAACTCCAAGGCACTTAGCAGCAACAACAAAGTTAATTCAGTGTCTTGCAGTGTTTACAAAATAAACTGTACCTGTCCTCATCCCTCTCAACAAATACACCATCCATTTCACTGAAAAAATTTCATTGCAACATAAATTGCATAAAAATGTATCATTAGTAAGATGAATATGTAGGACCAGTTTTGGAAATGAACTAAAATGAAAAATTCTGTAGCTTGTTGTTATTGTAGTTAAGTGCTGTTTAGTTGGTTCCATCTCATTGTGACCCTGTATAGGATTTCCAAGGTGCAGCTGGTGAATTTGAACTGCCGAACTTGTGGTCCAGTGCTTATCTTTCAGGGCCACAGCAGCACTCTGAATTAACTGTAAGGGTATAGACAAATCACTTTCTGTGGAAGAAAATTATCACGTACAGCTTAATGTAGCTGAAATTAAATGAATT